ATTGTTTTCCCTTGCTAAGATGAAAACTTTAGACACAGAGATGTCTAGAAGACTTCTGGTATTGGGAGAATATGAGAACAGAAGGAGTAGCTTAGGCAAAAATTGAAATGCTTGAATCCAAACGCAGAAAATCAATGAGCTTCAGTTGTCCTGTGCTTTTAGACTTATCTCCTTCCTACTTCACCCACCTCTTTCCCTTTTCTTCCTACTTAGTGGTAACCAGGTCTGCCAGCTGGCTGCAGGGCATAAATTCTTTGTATTCAGGTGTTTTCCCCACACCTTTTCCAAGAAAACTTAGAGGTGAACTTAAAACAAAACCTCGGAGCTGTTTTAAAGGATCAAATAATGCATCATTATTATTCTTACTCAGTTTGAGCTTTGCTGCTTTGCTCTCTGCAGGGGCAGAGTTGTCTTCAGTCATGTACTTTTGCTAGTTAAAGAAGATTGAGGCACAGAATATCTGTATTGCCTTATTCAAATTCCAATCTACAAAAAGCAGACATTTGTCCTGAGTGCATTCAGTGTGCTGCAGAGACAGGTAACGTTTCTGTAACAACAGAAAGGGGGATGAAAAAAGCCCCAGACTTACTTGTTTTAAAAACCTTTATATGTCACCAGAAAGGCTCTGTAATTCCTGTTGCTATTTACTGTGTCTGGGCCGTTGATGTGTCACCAGACAAGGGCTGGTGACTAAGGAGATCTCAACCTGGTGCTAAAGGCCATGGACAAATCTCTGGGAATAAAAAGTAGTTCTGACTTGATATAAGGAAACTTTTTCACCCTTTGGGTAGTCATCCATTACAACAGGTTGCCCAGACAGGCTGATCAGTCTCTCCCTTGGAGGGACTGATGATCCAACTCCAGCCCTGAGCACTGTGATCCGATTCTGTTGCTGGTCCTGCCTGGAGCAGGAGGTTGGGCTGGGACTTCTGAAGGTCCCCTGCAGCTGGAGTCATTCTGGTGCTCTCTGTTGGCAGCAAATCCTGCCTTGCTGCCCATTTCCCTTGGCTGTTTGCAAAGGGATTGTTCTGATTATTCCTTTGGGCAGATTTAAACCTTGGGGAGGCTGCAAAATGTATGAGGCAGAGGAGAATTTCCATCTCAGCAGAGATCTGTCTGCCCCTAAAGCAGCATTGATCTCTAGTACCCTGAAAGGCCTGGGGTCCCCTCTGAGGGGGCAGATCGGTTCAGATTTTGTGTTAATTGGTATTTAAATTATGTTAATTTGCCACTGTGAGTCCACAGTGTAAGCTGCCACTTCCTTTGGGTAAAATTCACTCATAGAGTAAGATCCATAGAGTGTTTCCCTGCTGCATTTCAGTCCTGCTTTGTACACTGGAGAGGCTGAACAGGGGGCTTAAATATTGGCTCCTGCTCATCCAGCATCCTGAGGTAGCCAGGTCATTCCTGCAGGAGCTCCAGGCAGTCCAGGCCATGTCTGTTTTTCCGTGGAGCTGTCGCTCTGTCACTGCACAGAGAGGGGGGCTGGACCCGTGGACAGTGTTGTGTGTTGGAAGAGCATCTCCAGCATTCGAGTCCATCACCCTCTGGATCTTCTGCCCTGTCACATCTCAGCAGCCCTGGATCACACAGAAGTGCCAAGCCTAAAACGGGAAAACATCTCTGACTGTCACAGTCTTGGTTTTGCTGAGCTGATATAAATCACATCTGTTAAAACAGTGTGATGTGTGGGGAGTGGTGTCTGTGTTGAAGGTGGAAGCTGGTCAGGCCAAAAAATGCAGCTTTGATGATTGCAGGCATTCAAAACCTTTAAAAAATTAAGTGATAAATTCTGTTTACTTTCTAGATTTTTGATCTGCCATCCCTTCTGCCCTCTTTGAAGATCTCACTGTTAAGGACAGTAACCAGTAGTTCACTGATGCTGTCCTGGTTCTGACTGGTTCAGGGCTGCCCTTTTAAGCCAGGTTTTGTTGCTGCAGTTTTTATTAAGGTTTTGCAGGGTGTAGCCTGGCAGTGGTGGAGCTGCTATTGGAAGGGATGATGTACAGGCTCAGCAGCTCCCTTGGGCTGACAGTGGCATTTGACTGGCCATGCATCAAGTTATTCAGAAATCTAAACTGGCAGAAAATCAACATTTTTTCCTGCCATCTAGTCCCTTGGCTGGCTTGTGATGAGATCAGCTGAGCTACTGGCAGCAGCACAAGTAAGAGGCTGGAGGAAAGGGGGAGAAGGGCTCATCTGTATGATGAAACATTCTTTTAGCCTTCATTTCTCTTGTTTTCTGAGTTCATAAGCCCCATCTTCTTAGCCCTGCTGTTCTCCCCACAACTGCAGCACCCCATCCTCCCTTTTGCCAGTCAGGAGTTTGGGTAGACACATACTGAGCTGGAGTGGAGAATTTGCCTGGCTTAATTTTGTTTGGATGGATTAGTTTTCACCAGGTTTCTTTTGTGTCACTGCACAGGTGCTGCCCCAGAGCAGGAGTGGTAGAAGGGAAGGAGCAGGAAGCAGAGCAGGGAGGCTGCTTATTTGTCTGAATTGGAATTGCCAGCTTCAGCTGTCTTAATGTGTGCCAGGAATTACAGGATCAGGCAATGGTTGTTTCTGTGCCCATTTTTTCACTGGGCTGTGAACATTCTAAGTGTGCTTTCTGGGTTCATGAATTTGTCCCCATGACATTTGGGAAATGTCCTTTTCTTTCTGTCCCCCTTTTTTCCTTTCTCTGCCGTGTGCACTGTGTAAACTGCAACAGCCAGTGGGGTTGGGAGTCAGATGGGTGACTGATTCCTCACATATCCATTTGTCCCAAAGACACAGCAGTGGGGAGGCTGCACTGGGAATGTTTGCTGGGGCAGGGGCAAGACTGGTTTAAATCACTGACCATCTTTAAATCTTGTGACTGACTGGGAGGAAGAGGTAGGGAAAGAAGAGAGCAACTGTGAGGCTCAGTCAGGAAATGTTGTGACCCACTGTTACAGAGGGAGGCCTTGGAATGGGCATGTCCATGGAGACCAAAGGAGACCTTGGTAGTGGTTACCCTTCTCAGTGGAACTGAGCTGTGCAGGGGTGTGGCTGCTGTGTCGTGCAATCACACAATCCCAGAATAGTTTGGGATGGAAGGGACCTTAAAGCTCATCTCATTCCACCCCCTGCCATGGGCAGGGACACCTTCCACTAGCCCAGGTTGCTCCAAGCCCCACCCAACCTGGCCTTGAAAGGAGGTCACCTGTACCATGGTCAGCAGCCTGGATCAAGGAGACAGGAACCTTTATTGGCCCACTTGCCATAATCACACCATCCTCAGCATCCCTGCACCTTCCCTCTCTTTTAATCTTTGGCCCCACTCTTCTGTCCTCACTGTCACTTGTTCCTTCACAAAGGAACTCATAAAGAACAGTGTCCTCAATAGAATGTTTCATCATGCTTGTGTCTTTTCCTTCCTTGTTCCTGCAGATGGAATTAGCTTCTCCTTGCAGAATATTTTTCCATCGGTTTGGAGGTTTCAGTGATTTATATTGATGTGGGTTGTGCTGGAGTGTCTCATTCCATGTGATTGGGCATCCTGACCTTTCAGCTTTGTCACCCTGGGCACTGTCACACCTGCTTCAGTTTTGCAGGGTTATTCCTAGGTCCAGAGGATTCATTAGCAGCCTTCCCAGCATCCATGGATGTCTCTATTAGCATTGGAGAGTTTGCAGAGCAGACAATTTGTGTCGTTGTCCAAAGCAGATTTTTGGATCAGAATTTATTCCCTTGAGAGAGGCAGCGAGCTGGTTTCTCACCAGGCACAGGTGACATCTCACTTCTTCTTACCACCTGTAAACATCTTCTCTGCAGGCTTTTCCAGCATGAATATCAACCCCCAAGTGAGATATTTATGCCAAGTTGTGATGTCTCATGCCAGTCTGTCCCCAGACCTCTGTTTCCAGCAACTTCCTCGTGTGCTGGATGGGCCTTGGAGGTTCCTTTCCCAGCTTCCATGCCATTGCCAGATGTATGGAGACACATTTCCACCTGAAAGTGTACAAAGGTTGTGCTCAATTCAACCACTTCCAGATGCTCTTCTTGCTTTCCTGCCTCTGTCCCATGGATATTCTAGATGAGTCCATGTTTTCTTTTCAAGTGCACTGTAAGTGTGGAGGTGTGATCATGTCAAAGCAACTGGTGTTTTGCACAGAAAAATCAAAGGCTCAGAAAAATCTTACTTCAGTCCACAGTTAATTAGCTTTCCTTTGCCTGACTGGAATTGAAGAGATTAAAATTAGGAAAATTTGTGGCTTCAATCAGCTCTTGCCACCTGTTTAGTATTGTAGGTTTATCTGCACCTAATTCTGTGCATTCATATCTTACCTGCTGTATCATGCTTAGTTTGCTATTCAAAATTCAAATTTAAGCTAGAGGTCATTAAAATACATTTTTCTGTCTGATGCTGCAGTTGGAATAGTGTGATTTTCTCATGTCATTGACCTTCATTTGAATGGTTCTCCTTTGCACCTAAACACCACAGTGTGGTATAATACATGACTGTACTTTTCCAGCTTATTGAAAGGGTTATTTGCTCCAGTTTTGTTTGCATGCTTGGAAATGTGTGAATTCATTCTGGTTTGGATGTGTGTTAGGAAGCTGCAGTCATTTCACAAACCACTTCTGGTTTTTAAAGGAGTATTGGCTGAAAACAGGTACCAAAGCCTGCTTTCCAAAGAAAGCCACTTGCCTGCTGTAAGAGCAGTAGTTTTCAGTGGGATAAAGACCAATGAACTCATTTTCCATGCAATAAGTGATGTTTCACCCAGTGGGAATGTGTAGTTGCCTTTCAGTGCTTTATTTGACCTGGGTACACGCTTTATATCCTGACCCTCACAGTCAAAGTAGGAGCTGCCACGTTTCAAACAAGACCTTTTTTACATGAAATTTATTCAATGCTGACATTTTGTAGTCTCATTCTACCTGTGAGTGCCCTTAACTGTTGTGGTGGGATCACCCAGTTGGCTCCTTGAGTGTGGCAGCTTTTCCAATCCAGTTGTTGTCTCCTCTTGCAGGAAGCAGCAAACATGTTACGTCTGATGCAGAACAGGCTGAAGGAAGAGGAGCAACACCTGCTAAAGAGTGGAGGTAAGTGGCATTTCTTCACCTCTGGTGGTAGTAGAGAAGTTTAGTTGTTTGGGTTTTTTTTCCCCAGACTTACTCTTAATTAATTAGAATTCTAGCTGAGGATCAGAAGGGAGTAACAAACTCTTGAGGTTCTGTAGAAAGCTCACAAACAAGATTTTGCTCTTTTTGAGCTAAACATCAGCAAAAACATCCTCATTGATTGCCCCTGTGAATTTAATATTGCAGTCTGTGCACTTTTACTTGATAGTGGGAGAAACTAGAAGGCAGGTTAATTCTCAGGATCAGAGGGAGAGTTCACAGAAGCTGACACTGAGTAAAGATATAAAAATTGTGCTTCACAGTTTCCTTGGTGGCTGAGATTTTCAGAGCAGGCTTATGAAAGAGGAATTTCACTCATTTTTGCCCATCTTTGATCTCATATCAATGAGGTAAAAGGTGAAGACATCTCAGCTGAAATATAGGATTTGTAATATAAATCACAAGAATGTGGAATTGTGTCAAGGATTCACTTGAGTGAAAAAGTTCAGGTCCTGCTGTCTGATAGTTTCCAAGGTAAGTCAGTTTAAGAGGACTCTGTCATCAATCCTCAGTAATTGGCAGTGTGAAGTATAAAGTGAAAGTTTGCTAGCCTCCTTTCTCCTTGCCTGTGGATTTTACTTGGAAAACTATTCTGTCATTTTGCAGCTCTGAAATAGAAGGAACTTTACCTTTTAGTGAGTGATTTAACTGCCACCTCAGAACGTGATTATGACTTCCAATGAGCTAAAAATATTACAGTAACACATCTTTATTCAAGTACTTAATTGTCATAATGAGTATTCATTTTAGTGATAAAGAGCACCAGGAACCTGTTTTCCAGAGCTGGCTCATTTATTGACTGTCCCATAACCTCAGCCAGTCGAGTCATCTCTGTCAGCACAGGCTGTGGGAGTTTGCAGAGTTGTAACTGAGACAGTAAATTTGGCTCTTGGATGCTGTTTCCCAGTCATGAGCATGGAGGGTAATTTATGGGAGGTTGTAAAGCTCCCTGAGACCACATGGAACAGTCAGGTATGTAAAGTAAGATACACAGGTGTCCCCAGAAACACCAAGGCAGTGGAAAGAATTCAAAAAAATTATTTAGAAGGCCATTAGTTAAATTATTAGTTAAATGATACCCTTTATACAGTTCAAACCCAAGGGATTTGCTTTGCTAAGAGAATGCAGAGGTTGGTGTCCTAAGTGGCACAGTGTCCTGTTAGGGATGTGTTTACAGAAGAGCTGTGTTAATCCCAGGATCCTAATCACAAGAAAAATACATGTTTTGCACAAGACAAAGAGCAGCAGAATCACTGCAGCATCACTGAGCAGCTTTGCTTGTCCAGCCTCTCCCAAGGTTAATAGTGCAATGCACTCCAAAAATAGGAAGAAGCGGGATGGAATTTCTGCTGGAGAGGATTCACAGGAGACCTACAGCCTGATGTGGCAGTGATTTTATCAAGAGGACTGGGAACATGGGAGGAAGTGGTATGAAGTGCTACATACATGAGCACTTAAACCTTCTTTGAGTTCTGTTTGGATTTTGAGTGCTACATCCTCCTGAGATAGGATGTGCCCTGTAACGAGCCAGTCACAGGGAATATTAAAAAAGGGCTTTTCTTCACTGTCAGAAACATCTTTCTAAAGTAGGTTTTGGGAGGGGAAATTACTTCACAGGATCATGGAATCACAGACTGGTTTGGGTTGGAAGGGACCTTAGAGCTTCACCTGCCATGGGCAGGGACATTCCACCCCCTGCCATGGGCAGGGACACCTTCCACTAGCCCAGGTGAATCCAAGCCCCATCCAACCTGGCCTTGGACATTTCCAGGGATGGGGCAGCCACAGCTTCTCTGGGCAACCTGTGCCAGGGCCTCCCCACCCTCACAGGGAAGAGTTCCTTCCCAATATCTTGTCTAAACTGACCTTTTTTCAGTTTTAAACCATCACCCCCTGTCCTGTCGCAATAGACCCTGCTAAATACTTCATTATTCCACTTGGAGTTTTGAGTAATGCCTCCCACATGAAGCAAAGTGCTTTTATCCTGAATTTTCTTCCATCTTTAGTTTGTTGAGAAACTTCAGACTTTTTTTTGTCTGGGCCTTCAGCCCAACAAAGACACTGTGCCTGTTCACAGGACAGTTGAAGTGGACCCTGCTCTGACTTGGTCTTGCTCATGCAGCGGGTTCTGGAGGTGGAGGGATGAGCATCTGCTCTGCTCAGTGCAGGGTGGGCAGGCTGGTTTGGCATCTCCCAGTGTCCTAAGATTCTCTGGCTGAATCTTGGTCCAGGGTGGTGAAATGAATTTCATTTGCCCAAATTCACTGATTTCCTACCCAGAGGGGTAGCACAGGCCAGCACCTTCTGCAAGGGAAGGGGAAGGTTCTCCCTCTCATTACACTTCACCCCTGAGAGCTGCAAAACACTTAATGAGGTTCTTCTAACTGCCTGGGCTGGCACCTGGTGATAAATTTGTTGCCCTTAACTGATAAAAGTCAGTATCCATCCTGCCCCTGTAAGAACTCTTTGCCTACCTGCTAATTGATGCAGTTCTTGTGTTGTCTGCATCCCCTGACGTTATCTCCTGCTAATTTGGTAGCAAGGGTTCCAAATCAACAGTTCATTTCTCTGTGCAGTACAGTTGCAGGAATCCTGGAAGCCTAAACCATGTTTGTCATCTAGAAGAGCTGTGGAATGGAGGTTGAGTTGTGCAGGTCTGTGTTAAGGATGTAAAAAGTCCAGGGATATGTCGTGGCATCACATAAAATGGGCAAAAATGTTTAGGATAACTGATAAACAGTCTGGTTCTTTTTTTCTTTTGGTAGCATGCATTGCAAATCAGCTTTGATTTCTGACTGAGCATCTCGATAAAACCACTGCACAAAAAACAAAAAAAGCCAACACTAAATTACATGAAAAATATGAAAATGACATAAAGATTTTGAACTCTAAATACAGATCAAGCTTTGAGCATTACCTGCATGATGAAAACATACACAGTTAAGTATTTGCAGCAGTATAGAAGTGTCTTTTGTGCTGAGCAGTAAGGAAATTGCTGTTATTTTTCTAATCTTTGCTCTCAGAGAAGCTGAGACAGGGTGTGGTGTCTCACACACCTGCTGCCCGGGTGCCACATCCAGGGCTGGTGCCAAATAAAAAAATCCAATTGCCTGAAACTCAGGGCTTGGTTCCCTTGTAGTTAATGGTGAAGTGACTCTTCAAACATTGTATTGGACAGTGCTGGGGTGAGCACTGTGCAGGGTGGTGGCAGATCCAGTTCAGGTGTGGTTACTGGATGCTCTGACACCGGATTGTGTGAGAGAAGGGGCAAGGAAGGTCACTGACCACAGCAAAATTTCAGGATGTTTTCTCAGGCTCACCCAAGGTTGGAAAACATGTTTGTTGAGCAAAAAGGAACAAGTGTGAATGTTACTAGACTGAAATACAGTTTTCCAGAGTAATCAAATTATTACATTTACAGATCTTTATTTTCCTCACTTTTTTTACACATATTTTCACATGCATTTTCTCACATTCTTTAAGAAGTTTGGGGGTTTTTCCAGTTTAAAAGCAGACAGTGTAGAATCACAGGATCCCAGAATGGTTTGGGTTGGAGGGACCTTAAAGCCCATCTCATTCCTCCCCTGCCATGGGCAGGGACACCTCCCACTAGCCCAGGTTCCTCCAAGCCCTGTCCAACCTGGCCTTGGACACTCCCAGGGAT